CCTTGCTTTGCTCGGCTATGACCGAATCAGATGGGACGTTTCTGGGGAAAAACCAACTCCCAATCGGATTGCCCGCATCACCCCATTCCGAACCCGAAATACACGGCTTGGCTCTTTTGAATCCCAAAGCACTCCCATTGTTACGCGCGGACCAGATCGATTCTTATCCATACCCTACTCACATGCATCCAGTTCCGTTGATTTCGCATCCGATGCATGAAATTTTATCCCAGTGCAGCCCCAATTCGTATACTGATGTGAAGTCACGTGAATTCGCCGGACAGGATAGTTCGGATACTGTCCCGTTCGATCATTCCACTCTCGCATTGCCACTCACTTCGCAACCACACCAGGAAAATTCCCAGTCCCACTCATCTGCTCAACTACAACAGCAGCAGCAGCAGCAACAACAACAGTCATGTCACGCGAAACCGCCTTACTCATACATTAGCCTAATCACAATGGCCATTCAAAATTCTCCAGTACGTATGTGTACTTTGTCTGAGATTTATCAGTTCATTATTGATCTATTTCCTTACTATCGACAACATCAACAACGATGGCAAAATTCCATTCGGCATTCGTTATCGTTCAATGATTGTTTTGTCAAAGTTAGTCGTAGCCCGGACAAACCGGGCAAGGGATCATACTGGACATTACATCCTGAATCGGGCAATATGTTTGAGAACGGTTGTTATCTACGTCGTCAAAAACGATTTAAAGATCCCAAACGAGAAGCAGTTCGTCGAACTCAACGGGGTACACAATCAGTTCTACGTGGACGTGGATCTGCTGGATCTGGTCACACAACCGGACTGGTTATTGGTGATACAAGTCGTGGCCGGATTCCCGGAATGGAAGAACAGCTGAGTTGTGATTCAAAACCAGATCCACTGGATCAAGATTTCATGTACGACGACGCGGAGGACGGAGCAAGTTCATTATATGATGAAACGTATTCACCTAGTACCAAAGACCACATCCTGTCAAAATCCCACCTGTACGCGTCGGAACTGAAACAGCCTAGTTTTGGGGAGACCGGTTCACGTGTTATCCGTTCTATTAGTCCGAATCCGGCTTCTTCTTGTTCTGTGAGAGATGGGACAAAAGGAGACCGGAAAGATGGGATCCCTAAACCCGAACTTAGGTTGACAGACATGTCGATTCCAACTTCATGTGCTTATTCAGACTCGATTAATTTTCCTTTTACAGTATCCGCAAATAGCATGCCCAAATTACCAGAACAATTGAACGGTCTACATTTACCTCCATACTGGACTAGACAATTTTCCCCAACTACCAATTATGAGAATCGCGTTCGCGATGTAAACCCATTCAGTCCACACGCGTATGGAAATCGATCCATGCAGACGGAAACGTGGTGTGAAAAGACAAAATTTGCTCAATCATACGGAGGTTTTGTCACGGAATCTCGAATGCCGGATTTCTATTCAGCTCCCATAAGAGCCAATCACTCGCTCACAGATATCGATCGTTTCATGATGGCTCAGTCGACACAACCCTTTTCCACTTATCCTCCTATTTTGCAACCTCCTGTCTACCAGG